GGGAAGGTGTCTACCGGAAATCTGTCTATCTCACATTGCTCAGAATTCAATGGCGAATTTTTGTGGCTATTTAGAAGTTTAAAAATATGTGAAATGGAAAGTGTCCTTATTGCAACAGGTCCTTTTATTTATCAAACGAAAAATGTTTAATCCCGCACACGTTGAACATTAAAAGATAAACTCCCTATCGGAGCACTACCTTTCTCTATAGAATATTTACTGGCTACGGATAGAGCATAAATACTCTATACTAAAATCCCACAAAAAGTTTATACAATTCGAACTTTTTGAAAAGAAAACGCCTGGACACACTAACGCAACAGTATAGAACGTTCACCAAGATGTATGTAAATATTTGTAACAAAAAATTGGCTGCGGCTTCTTTATGTTCCTTGCATAGTTACTAAAACAACTGCAAGGAATAATAGCAACATCCAGTATAAATGGAGCGGATACAATTTTTCAATCATCCCCATCCTACGCATCTTTCCTGCACCATAAACTTTGCAGTCGTATCTAAGCTATTGCTGGAGCCTACACTGTAGAAATAAACACAAAAAAGGTTTTGTATCTTCCACCATCGCAACAAGGAGAATTTTACTCTATTGTCCAAAAAAATTTTATTTTGGCTTACTGAACCTCTTTCTGTCAAAAGTTTTTAGAAGTTTTTTAGTACGAACTTTCTCATGGGAGTTGTCCTACAGACTTCTGGACAAAGTTTAATCCACGCGAGGCGATAAAACAATCAGAAACACCGCATGAGACCTTTCCCCACTGTGGGATATAAATACTGGAGAGCAATAAAGCAATTTTTAACACCTTGAATAATTTCAGGTTTATCAAGCCCTCCTTAGCTACATCATTGTGTCTAACAGTCTTAATCATTGCGCTATATCATACACTGCTAGCCCTGTTTGTGTTTTCATAGATTGCAGAGCCTTGTTTGCTTCAGTACACTAGAACTGTAGTTTTCGCCTGACAATCTGTCCGCTTCTTCTTTTTTGAATTAACACGCATATTTTTAGACATACTTTGTATTTTTTCTATTGATTTTTGTGATATATTTAAATTTTCCTTTTCTTTTACGCCCTGTGTAAAATTAAATTCACTTTTTGTTATTATGTCTGACATTGTATCATTAGCTACAAATAAACAAAACATCATACATAAACATACAATAAAGCATGAGACCGAAAAAGAAAGAAAATACCTTCAAAACTACGTTTACGTACTAATGATTGAACTGTACGAAACTACAAGTAATGAAAACATAAGCAATATTAAAACATATTCTACGGTTGAACATACCAATGCATAATTATTAAGCATTCGTGCCAGTTTAGACTGAGTAATAATTGGATGACCGTAATTAATAACTAAGGTAAATAATACACCCAGTCAACCATTAGTAAAAAACCAAACAGTTCCACAATCACAGAACTAACAGTCACTGTATATGTTAAAAAATGTCTAGTTTAATGTGTCTCTAGGCAGTGGCTAGTATTAGCTAGTCTCACTTCTGTAAAAATCCAACGACCTTTCTCCAATAAAATTTCTACCATCCGTTGACTTTCAATGGCAATATACAGATGAAACGCTCTATGTAAAAAAAGACTGCAAAAAGTATCAGTTTGCGACATTGGTAAAAATAAAAACATTCAGCTGAATAAACATGGTGGTATATTTGAAAAAATCGTTTACAATTCCTTTTACAAAAATAGAGCCCAAAAAGTTCTCTGCCGGTTCATATATTTTCTAATTCTATCGAATCACTGTGCTTAGGCAATAAACGAGATGTGAAAGTGCCTTAAAACTTATCCACTAGGCAAAAATCGTTTTGTGCTTCCTATTGACCCATCGAACTCAGATCCAGTAATTTTTAGTGGCATACTCAGGTATATTATCCAACTAACTGTCCGTAAAAAAAGACCTGTTTCATGAACTACAGTCACTGCGAAATAACGAAAACAAAAACTGCCTTAAACTCATGTCCGTCACTTTACGTTAGCGTTCTTCAAAATAGAACTATATTTTTTTCATGGGATCAAAACCGTGAACGAGAAAGCTTCGATCCCGCAAATTTCTATCTAACATTCTGCAAGATCCGTCATAAACTCGAACGCAAGATCTTGCCTAACAGTGGCATCTCCCTACATTTAACAACACATGGACAGCTGGCTATTCTTGATTTAGAAGTTGTTCGGTCCTTCTTGCCACTTCTATACTACAGCGCACATTTCTCATTTTGATAGATAAGAAAACAACGTACTTGTATTAGATAATTTTTGATTATTTCTAATAACAGGTAATGTTGAAGTCATATGACGTGAACATATTGTTGTTGTTTTTCTTAAACATGATGCTGTCACCGTTGACGATGAATAACATGTGCGCCCAACTAAATGACCTATCATTTTTTCTGATTCTAAATAAAAATATACGATGATGATATATTTATCTTAAAAGTAAGCAAAACACAGTTTTAACACAGTTTGAACTGTAAGCTAGTCTCCTTCTATAGATCAATTTTTCTTTAAAAGGATGATTCCATTTTATATTAGAGGATTAATAAGATATCAGAAGAAATAAAAAGATATCATGTATTAAAAATTACAAAAAAAAGATATTATGTATTAAAAATTCATTAACTATAATATAAGGAAGAAAAAAAGAAAAGGACTCTACTGTTCATTTCACAAAGAAAAAGAAGCAAGAGAATTATGACATCCAGGATCGTACCGAACGAGGAGGCTCAGTAATTGAATATTTTTCCACATTATCTCTAGAGGCACGGAAAGAAACTTCGTACCACCTCTGCGGCTTTAACAATTTCGCCATGATTACCACAAAAAAAGAACACAACAATAAATGGTCAGGACAGAAATGATCCACAAAGAAGTCTGGAAACTCATGACTATCTGTAAGATGTTGATGGAAAAATAAATAAGAATTTTAAATTTGAAACATCTAACTGGTTTTAGTGGCGTGAAAGGTCACCTTTGAGACTTCCGACGAGATGTTTGTTCTGATTGTGTTGTACTAATAGCAAGCAATGAAAAAGCTTTCCTTTCATAAACGGTCCTTCTAGCCGATGTCCTCGAAAACATTTAAATGGGAAGCATAAATGGGATCAGAGAGTAAAAAGTTATTAATGTACTTCTTCTTCTGAGTGTTCGTTATGTATAAGGAATACGGACGCTGTTTGTTATTTATCTCGTTTAAAATAAGGATAAGAAAAACACACACATCTTCAACCACGCACGTGTCTAACATAAAGCGTATATACAGAACATAGACAATAATTCGGTATATAAGGTATACAGGATTTAATTATAACTTTCAAACAGAAAACATTTCCGTTCTTCAGAAGACACTTCAAAAAGAAATACTATATGCACCAATTAAATGTTATACTTGCACTTATATTCCGTTCTCGCTCAAGTCGACTAAAGCCAAGGAAACAATGTAGACATTCTAGTTTGCATTTTCTTGAGGTATTATATTTCTAATGATGTTTAATGGCTTACAGGTTTTAAGTTTTTCTGAGCAGACTAGCAAAAAGATTTTGTTTCTATGGAAAAAAACACTATCGAAATACAAAGTACATTAATTACATCCAAGAGGTTTAACCGATAAAGTTTTAGACGCCTCGGATTTTGTAGAGAAAATTACTTTTGTGAGTCCAACGAGATCGTCAAACCATAGGCGTAGACTTTAAAGAATTTCGGGAAATAAATCTTCCGAACGGTTACGTTATTTTGGATACAAACAAAGAGTGATCCCTACCAAACTATATCTATATGAGCTTCGAGTACTTAGGACGATGTTTTAAATGACACTATATCATTTATCACTTCAAATAGTATATTTGGCTCATATGCGAAATAAACTATTTAAAATGAACGAAACATTCTCAGTGCAGAACTAAAGGAAATATTGCGTTCTGCATATCAACAAAATACTTGTCTGTGTCTGTGTGTGCGCAAAATACGGAAAAATGGCTGTCAGATATTCTATGAATGAGTCAATCATAAGCGAGAAAATAGTGAAAGAGATGATCTGAAATATATACAGATGCAGAGAGAAAAAAAGCTAAGCAAACGTTTTCCGTAGGCCGGGGTTTGATGTCGCCAGATAGCAGTCAACTGCGATACTACAAAAAAAGTCGTCTACGGATAATAAAACTTACAGTGTATAGATAATCTATCATGGGGAATCGATTAGAAATACCCCCAACCTCCTTGGAATTTGCAGAGGGTGTCTTGAAAACCTTTCAGCTTTATATTACCTTAGTCGGTTTTTCCTTGGAATCAGAGAAGTTTGCAGCGTTTCTCAGCTATACTGGCTGCGAACGCCGACCGAAGGGAGGCGTGAGCATTGATTTGAATTAAGAAATATTTTTAGACCTCTGAAGATTTTTGCTTTTTATATTGATATTGGATTACGAATCTTACACATGAAAACAGACAAAAATCCACAAGATGTGTTAGTTAAGCCCTCAGCGAGTGCCGACCGAAGGGAGGCGTGAGCATTATCTGCAATATAGAAATCTCTTTAGGCCTGTGGCGACCTTCGGATGTCGGATGCAATCTCTTAGGTTTCCATTGTATTAGGACGCTTACACATGAAATCAGAGAAAAATTCATAACATATTTTAGCGAGTCTCCTAGCGAACACCGACCGAAGAAAGGTGTGAGGGTTGTCTTGAATTCAAAGTCATGGAAGGTCGTTCACAGATATAACCTCCTAAAGTCAAGGGACTGAGCGAGTTTAGACGAGCGTTACCTTGTAGATATAGTTAGGTAGGGTTAATTCGTTGTTCCCTTGACTTTAGTCTAGGGTCTTATAAAATGGTTGTCTGTGTGTGTGTGTGCGCAAAATACGGAAAAATGGCTGTCAGATATTCTATGGATAAGCGAATCACAAGAAAGAAAAGTATAAAATTATTTTTTACACAAGAGAGAAAA